TACCTTATATAGTGAATGAATATTCGAAATCGGTTCAGAGGTTTGAGAGATTATTTGTTACAAACATACAACTCATGTCTCTTTATAATATTAGTACTTATATATAGGACAATAATATTTAATTGATGAAAAATATTTAAAAATAAACTCAGTAGGTAATATGTCTTATTTGATTATATTTATAAAAGTTACTTAGCAATTTTGGTACAGTGATTTAAAAAAATTTGGGTAGCTCCTCTACATGTAATCCGTGGATGTTTTTTTTTATCGCCTATACTAAAAATCTTGAAATATGTCCTTTAAAATTACTTAGGGGTTTCTAAGACTAGTTTTAGATTTAGGGATCCGTTTGCGAAAATTTTAACTTTAAAGTGAAAATTTTTGTTCGAGTGGGGCGTCCCCTCACTCCTCTCTAAAAACTAAACTATTGGCTTGAAAAACTTGGAATAATGGACTAAATAAAGCCTACTTTTATAAAAGGCCTTAATTTTATCAAATATATCTATCAAAATATATTCATTTTCCAATATTTAATAATATTTACGGGAAAATATGTTAATTTGCTAATTTTTGTTTGTATGAATATGTTCTTTTTTATATTATTCTTTATCTCTTGCTAGTCACGCATATTAAATGCGACTTCAAATCTGACTAGGACCAATCCGCGTTGGATCCATATCCGCGGAGCGCGGATTGGTGGGTGGTAATGGACACAGTACGGATTGATGGATGATAATGGACCTAGCGCGGTTTGGTGGGTTATAACGGACCCAGCGCGGAATGGTGGTTGATAACGGACCCAGTGCGGATTGGTGGATGATAACGGACCCAGCGAGGATTGGTGGGTGATAACGGATCCAGCGCGGATTTGTGGGTGACAATGAACCCAGTGCGGATTGTTGGTGATAACAGACCCAGTGCGGATTGGTGGTTGATAACGGATTCAGCGTGGATTGGTGCGTGATAACGGACCCAGTGCGGATTGGTGGATGATAACGGACCCAGCGCGGATTGGTGTCACCTTCCATTACATCATTTAGCATATAGTAGTTACAATTAATTTTATACTTAACTTTATATTTAGTATCATCGGCATCAGATATGTACCATATTACTGTTATGATAACTGATTAATAACCATCAAATAACAAATTACAAGAAACACTATGTCCATGCATTACGAACATTTAGATAATCATTAACTTTATAATAGCCCTTAATCATAAGAATATTTTGGATCTGAGATTTAAATTTGGTAAGTGGAAGCTCAATCAGATCTTGGGGAACTTTATGAAACAATGCAATTATTATTGCATTGTTTCATAAAGTTGTATTCAACCCAGAAATGAAACTTGATTTTTGGAGTCTGAAACATGGAACGGCAAGCTTGATCTTAAATCTTGTGTTAAAGTTATGGGTTTGACTTGGCTTTGGCGATTGTTTAATTAATAATAATAATAATTATTTAATTTAGCGATTTAAGGCAGCTGCCACCATTGTTCAAAACAACAGACTCGAATTATTGCTTTCGTCAATCTGCGATATTAACGTCATTCATTGGTATTGTATATAAGGTGATTAACAACGTTCAAACGTTAACCTCTGGTATCAACATATTTTGTTTCTGTGATTTATGTAGGTAAAACAAATTATGAGACTAGGATATTACACTGCATTTGTGCATATCACAACTTTAATGCCAAACTATACAATTTACATGCATTAGATATATAAGTAACGACTTCATTTAACTTACCACATTTTTGCAAAAAATTATGCCCATCTTTAGGTAACGTACTAAATGATCCCCTCGATATTAACTCCCTTACTGAAGTGAAAGACTGTGGTATATCCCGTCATATAATCCTAACTAAAAAGTGTGAAGTAAAAAAGGTAAATTTAAAAATCAAAAAACCCGTCCGCTTACATATTACTTCAAATAAAATCTGAAAAGATAAAGCAAATTCAGTAGCATATAATTCTCTTAAGTAAGGAACAAAGCTACTTTAAGTCGGCACCCATTATTGAAAAAAAATTATTCATTCTTGACTAAATAATGGGTCCTAGCTTTGTTCCTTACTTAACAGGATTATAGACAACTGGACTTGTTTTTTTCAGTTTTTATTTGAAGTAATATTTAAACAGTCGAGGTTTTTGATTAATAACCTTTTTTGTAGTAGTTGTTGCAATAGCGGCAACTGAAATAATAGGTTGGGGAAAAAGTGTTTTCGCATTATTGTAGTATATATATATATATATATGAAGATATATAGAAAAATTTCGAAACATTTAAAAGACGCAAGCCGTGAAAATAGTAAAGTGTCTATGAGAGTAGCACTTCAGTTTAAGCGTATTAGCGGAAATTTTGATGTCAAACGTCGCGTCGTTCTGATCGCCCTGTTACGGATAAAATGGATTGCATTTTTGAAAAAGTGGAGCAAGATCGGCATATCATTAGTTACAACGTAGCTGAAGAACTGGGAATAGACACAAATCAGTTAAATAGCACCTACATATTTAGGTTAAATGTAAATAAACTTTATTAAAAGTGATTTGAATTTTTATATAAAATGCGATGATATTTTTTCCCAACCTCTTCATCATCAGTGGAAATTTCACTTGTCTGCTTAGATTAAAACCAATTTTTATCTAAGACAGTCTAGTTATCACGGTTCATGAGATACAGGCTGATGACACACAGAGAGACAGACAAATGGACAGTGCAGCTGTCCTAAGTCAAACCACAGTTAGGGACTTCCAAAAAATTTTACAGCACGGCAAAAAATAATTTTAATGATTTTCAAGATGTTTTTGAAACTGTATCTATAACTCTATATGACTTTTGGAGATGGTAGATAAGATGATTGTCTACATTTTATTTATATTATAAAATTGAAAATACAGGTCGGGGCACGTTTTAAGACACTGACTTTTAAATTAGATCCAACACTAACCATAGCCAATAACATAAGACGCCTCTCTCCCGGAACGGATAGTGCCAATTCGATATTATTATCTTTTCGCTAATTTAATACTTGATTCATGGAGATAGCTGCTCCGATGGATGTGTATAATTATACTATACTGTGTGATTTATAACTATTACGGTCTTTTGGACATGTTAATTCCCAAGTAAAAAACCTAGTAAGTGACAATTTGCGCAGAGACATATTTTTAAAAGTTTGTACATTCCGTCCAATTTACTATCCGACCGTTCTCTTGTACAAGGACTTTGAATTATTAACTGTTAGACAGCTTTTTATAAAGGTGATCCTTATGCAACACTCACTTTTAAAATTTGATGCGATTCGGTCAAAAATTCTTTAACTTTTTGGGACTCTTTCCTTATAATAAAGTTGATAAAATAAAATCAATTTATCATCTCCCTTTCTATAGTGTCAAGTATTCAACAGTTGAATGGCTTAAAACTTTAAGTTATACCGATACTTTTCCATTTCTGCTGATATATATTAATAAATATATTAATTTTACACAACCTCTACACACACACACACACACACACACAAATTAACTATACTCACCATGAGAGGTTTCACTCGCTACACTTTACACTTATTATTACGTTACTTCTTTGGAAAATATATCGAGAATATCCTAAAACAGCTTGTTTTTTTTATAAAGAGCGCTGCGCCTGAGATACAGGTCTCATAGTTCAGGTGCAGATGTATTTTTATGCAGTTGGATGATTGTTTTATTATTGTAAGATTTTATAAAATATTGTGTACAATTTTATGGTGCCAATAAATTATTATTATTATTAATTTCAACTCCATACACACAGAAGTACGTGTGCCTTGCTGTGTTTAAGTCTGGTGATCAGCTCTTACAAGGTTATGATTTGAGGATTGTGGTTGTATGTAGAATATTTCCGTTATACATGATTTCTATGTAACTTTAACCACTAAAGCTGCACACGCGACGGAAGCTTAAAAAATGGAGTAACTTCTCCCGTTTTTCCAATATTTCCCTTCACTACTCTGCTCCTATTGATTGTAGCGTGATGAAAAGTATACTATAACCTGCCCAGGAGTATGAAGAATACCAAGTTTCGTTAAAATCTGTCGAGTAGTTTTTGTTTCTATAAGGAACATACACACAGACAGACAGACAGACAGACAAAAATTTTACTGATTGCATTTTTGGCATCAGTATCGATCACTTATCATCCCCTGATAGTTATTTTGAAAATATATTTCATGTACAGAATTGACCACTCTACAGATTTATTATAAGTATATAGATAAGAGAAAGAGGGAAAGAAAATGTGTATGCGCACTGCTTTCTCTTGCTTATATCCCCCACTCAACTCCCGTTCGCCTCGCTCGAACACACTTTTCGTAACGCGTAACTCATTCGCCAGATTACCCCCCAAGTCAAGCGTGCGTAAAGATGTTCCACTTCAAAAAGTATCTTTTATCTTTTATCCATAACGATTTTACCCGTTGGATACGAAACCCTCAAAATACATTAAAGACCTTGGTTTTTGGATATGTGGTGACACACATTCAATCTCGGGAGGACTTAGCTTAGCTCGTGTAGCTGCGCATCGGCATACACCTTACACAACTATTTAGCTTCGCATGTTTAGTTAGCTCATATAGCTTAGTTTGCAGACCACACACAAGCATGAAAAACTACGCTTCAGCTATACGAGCTAAGCTAAACTAACTTAGCTTAGCTCTAGGTCTCCAACCTGCATTAAATTATTATGAAAGGGACGCCAGAGTCAGTCCATTTTATTACTGTTGTATTTTGTGCTTTGACTCTAACGGATTCTATATATTAATATTTTAGATATTTTTGAAAGACCTATTCAATGATTCTTCACATACACAAAAGAAAAAATGTTGTTGACTTCGGAATAATAAAAAAAATACAGTCATCTCTGTTCGCAGTGCAGTTTCTGGTTCAAATATATGAGTAGAATGTAGAAGTAGGATGGGTTAATGTGCTTTGTCGATTACGAAAAGAGATTTGAGAGAGAAAGAAAAAGAGAGATACATTTATTTGGCCATTTTACACACACAAGTTTTACAAAATCATCATGATTGAGTTATCGCTTTTCTGGAGACATTGGACCTTGATGACGATGTTATGAAATAGAGCTGGTCTTCAACTAAAGGGTATCCTTATCATATATCACGGAAGTTCCGAACCGCCAAAGCGAGACACACCTATTTGTGACAGCTCAGTAATGGAGTTCCTAGATTTTTACTAAGAGTAATTTTTCGAAACTTGTAGTCGTGGTGGTTTTATAAAACCTGCTTACCTTTATCCTGTTCTTGTCACTTAGTCGGAGGTAAGAAAACAAACAGTATTGTATTTTTTTACGTTTTTATAACAAGTAGTTCCAATAAAATTTCACAAGTTTCTTTTGTACAAGTACGGAACCAACCGTGTCACGAAACTAAAACGTATGGATTAGAGACGTAACGGTGGGGTGCGATTTACAAGTATAGGGCTTCAATAACTAGCATCTGGGATACAGTCCAGGTGATGCCAAGCGCATATTTTATCATGATTCTATTAATTAGTCGTATAGTTTTCATGTTAAAGTATGGCGATCAAGTTTGGAAGATAAATTAATTAATTTAAAATAACTGAGCTTTGTAAGGGAACCTTCTGTATCACACGTTCAAGTTTAATGTTAATATAGACACCGCATCTATATCAGATTGAATTCTGCCGCGAGCGCTCCTTTTCAGCCAATATTCATTTGACAATTTTCTTTTCATTCATTCATTTATCACATATACCTTCAAACATTATAATGTTTCTCTGCGCCTGGTATCCCCTAAACTTTAACATTCCCAATGATCTGTCCGTCCGTGCATCCAGCGTCGCTACGTGACCGATAAACTTACAAAATCGCGAAAGACTCTGGTCATTTCTTGAGCCCATTACCATAAGAATAATAAAAATTTTACGCGGAGAAGCGTAACCGTCACTTGATGAAGCGGTTTTACGAAAAATCGACATAAATATACATAATTGATGATCACTTACTTAACGATTAAATGTACAGTAAAAAATGTATCGGCAATTTATTGTGTTTAAAGTAAACAATCTTGAGTAAACCAGTTTCGCTTTAACGCGTTTTGTTTTAATTTTTATTATTCTTATGCCATTTCTGTGATCACAATATGTTTCGTCCGAAATCCCATTATGAAGAATTGAACTAGTTACCAAAACATTTTGCTAAATTGACGGCAAATTACTATCAGTTAGGAATAAAAAAATATTTACAAGCATTGGCTACAAGTATAATTATTTCTCGATGATTAACAGAAAAACAATAGATTCAATTCCTTTGTATCTGTCACTGTAGTACATCGACAACTAACGTAACGTAACTACTTGGAAAATTAAATGAAACAAGATAGGTATTCCTATTTCCACTATTATGATACAGTTAATAATGTTTGCGCCTAACTTGGCAGTCGCACTACCCGTGCACACGAGTTCGCATCAAAAGATGCAGCTTGTATAATTATTAAGTTAATATGGTAAAAGTTCAATTCATCTCTTAACTTAATAAATAGATTATTTTAATGTCCCATATTTAGGATTTCCGAGACAACAGATGCAAAGGCATACTTACAAACTTTTAGTATTATCTAACTAACTAATCATTTTAGAATATTTTTTGCTTAACAATACAATAGTAACTATGATAATGACTTACTGAATTGCTATATTATTAACGTTCTTAAAATTTCATTCATTGTCATTGGAAATCACCCGATAAACAATAAGTAGGTACCTACATTCTCTTTGTTCACTTATAATTCTCAATAAATAATGGATTTAAAATATTGTAAATGTACAATAACATATTCTGTGAAACCTATCAACGCCGTCAATCATAAATTATGTACATAAATATTAAATTTTACAATAAAAAAAATCTACAAGTATTTTATATAAAAAAATATTTTGCAATTCGCTAAATATCAGTTCTAAGCGCTCAGATCCGAGTATTGAAAGATTCAGTATCTGAACAGAAATAAACGAATCAAGCAGTCGATAAATAATTTCGGTTTTCAATGATAATAGGCCTCTGCGATAACATACATAGTCGTAGGCTCGACGGACAAGCGTACGAAAAACTTGTTTCTATCATTAATCCAATTTTACTGAGTAATGAACTGATACCAGCGAACGCCACCGTGTCACGCTGTCACAGAACCGTTCAAACACACAGAAATTCTTTATCACTTACCTATATTATAATTTAACAATATTGTACATACCTACATAAATACATTTGATATAATTTGATCGGTTATAATGGTAATGGGCTCTCTCGATTAGACCGACGCGACGGTTCGACCTGGAGTCAGGTTCTCCGCACCCTGCCTGCTGGACCGACGTCTCAGACGTACGTATCAACAGCCAGCGCCGACGGCGTCAGTACAATCGGTTAATTTACAATATTAATATCTATTAATTTTATTTATTTACAAATCGCACTACAAGTAGGACCATATCGTTTGCCCGAAAATTGTAGTCCGAACTTATCGAAAGACAAATAATTTTCAGTATCGATTCCATTTAAATTATTTAGCTTACACCGTGCCCCCATAGATAGATAGATAGTATCGACTTGATTGTTATGCAACTGACGGTAGTTTCTAAACGATGTGGAGTCCGTGGCTGGCTCGGCGACGGATAGAAGCGCAGCTGACGAATACATTAACATTATTTTACTGCTAAATTTTCTATTAACGCAAATAGTGCAGCATTATCGCACGATATTTTGGTCGCTCGCTGCTCAGTCGCCCTGACAGGCCCCGCCGCGAGCCAGCCACGCGCTATTATTATCACCACCACTTATACGACAGTAGTTAGAATCATTCTAAATATTTACATTAATGGCAGTTAAGTTAACAGCTTCTTTTATTGATACCGGTCGATGAATATAGACTATTGTCATATTTATTGTTTTTTATAATATTAATTATAATATGCTTTATTATTCTATAACAATAATCTTGCGACGAAACTGTTCGGTGGTGGGTGAAGACGTTACTGTTATGTATCTATTGTCGTGACCTCACTGGACTGAACGTCGTACTTGTGGGAATTTTTATAATTAAGCAATCCCCGCACTATGGCCTTGTGATAAGGTCTCTTCTAACTATATCTTCAAAAAGTGTAGTAGTAGGTGATGAATATGGACGCTTTCGACTTTCGAACTGTAAGCATAGTGCAGGGACATTGTGCGCAGTTGAGTTTTGTGCGACTTTTGTGCTAGGCCTGGAAGGAAGTGCCTCACCACTGTGACTCATCTATCAAATGGTACGACCACTCGAACATAACCGAACTATGAGATATGTACGCGTCAATTAAACCAATCTTCGGGCTGTCGATCATACAAAATATAGGTAATCACTAACATCGAATAAAGCGTAAAACTATAACATTTGATTGCTTTTTCATATATCAATTGCATTGCACTGATTGGAGTCACATAAGCCATTGAGATTACAATTTTTAGAACAGCCATTAAGTTAGGAAGTCACAACTAGCAGGCATAGAGCCAGAAGTCATAACTAGCGGGTACAAAGCCACAAGTCACAACTAGCGGATATAGAGCCAGGAATCACAGCTAGTGGGTACAGAGCAAGGTGTCGCAACTAGTGACCATAGAGCCAGAAGTCACAACTAGTGGCCATACAACCAAGAGGCATAACTAGTAGCCATAGAGTCAGGAGTCACAACTAGGGGCAATAGAACCATGAGTCACAACTAGTAGCCATAGAGCCATTAGTCACAACTAGCGGCCAAAGAGCCAGGAGTGACTCAGCAAGTGGTCATAGAGCCAGAAGTCACAACCAGCGACCATAGAGCTAGAAGACACAACTAGCAGGCTTAGATCCAGGAGTGCCACCAAGCGGCCATAGAGCCAGGGTTGACTACTAGTCACGAGCTAGCAATCACACAAGCCTTTAGGAGGACGATTTGAAAAGGAGCCTTAGAGTTAATAAAATGCTAATGCTAGAGGTGATAATTTCTAGAAAAGTTTATATTTAGATAGTTTATAGGTAGTTAGAATCCTGAAATACCTAGAGACTGTTCATTTCCAAAACTTATTCAAGTTTATTTTAGTAATAAATAACGTTTCTGTTTGCGAAATAACTCCTATTTTTTTCTTTCAGAATCATCTCTTATTTAAGATTTCACCTTTCATTAGTTTCTATTAAGTATTCTTTCATCCCGATAACACTTATCTGGTGTCTTGGATATTCTGAAGCTGTCACCTCTAGATGGATGTTTTTGAACGTCTATTTAAATTTCATCCATTCTTTGCTCCTTTTTAGGGTTCCGTACCCAAACCGTAAAATTAAGTTCCTTTAACATAAATATCTTATGAGATTCCGTACGGCGGCAACTAAAAGAGATTCTGGGTCGCCTTTTGGAACTTGACCACTTCCGCATTATTCAGTGCAAGTACTCATAACTTTGGTCTTGCTCAAGAACACCGAACACTGTGCCTCCTAACATCGACAATAGTATTTGGCTAAGTTCGTGGCCATGCACGTGGAATAATTGCTCAAAATACTGTTCGTCTGTTACCCCGAAAGATGTCTTTCTTTCTTAAAATAAATAAATAAATAAAATTATTCACTCTAACGTGCCTACTGTAGTTAATGAGTATTATGTGATTTACTGTAAGAAAAAGATGACCTCTTATAATATGCAGGTGTGCAGTAAATATCTACAGTAAATTCCTTTTAAGTTGCTGAACAATCTGCAAAAAAATAACCAACCATTATGTTCATAAATTAAATAAATTGTTCGGTGTTCAATAATTAAAGATAATCGTCTTTATCTACATTGATCTTATTTAAAAGATGTATTTAGAATTTCACAACATTACTGATGAACTATCGAATATTCACATAAACACACTTAACTACAGTAAGAATACACTCACTTCAAAAAACGTTTCCAGTAACAATTATTATCTTAAATAAAATTTTACACTAATTACAATTTTGTCCGTTGAACTTTTAAACAAGATTATATCCGAATTAATTTTTAACCAATCTTTTAATGATGCGAGTACCGTGAAAACCAATCTACAGCATCCATCTATAATTATACATTCAAAAACTAATCAGACCCACGTGATTATTGAGCGTTTCACAATAAGTTTAAATGATAGATCAGTTGTCGCAACTGTCTCGTTCGCACAATATACAAGTATTAGGCCGTGCGTCCCCCGCTCCTACGGCTACGGCACACTTTAGTCTTAACATTGAATTGAGCAGTGTTAGAGATGCATGGACGAACAAATTGACTACACCCTGTAGTAACTACAGAACCCTAACTAATAAGTATTTTATCTTTGTTCGTCTCCTAGGGGCGTATAGGATTAAAAGCTTTACATTCTTAAAAGTCTTCACAAAATTGTATATCTTATAGTATCTTCAATACTCTTCCATTTTTTGTCAATTAAAAAGATAATGTTTTAACTATATTCCTTAACCTAGGAAACAAATATATCTAAAGGTGGTGACTCTTTTAAAATCAAAAAAAAGAAAATCAAATAAGACCTGGGAATATTTAATCGGTTGTATACAGATATCGTATTAATTAACTATTTACTCCTTCGAATAAAAATAAATAATTACACAGTTCGCTTAGTCAATTCCCGCGTTTGCGATCAAACGGTCACCGCTCGATAACATAGTGTATAATTACAATTTATATAATTTAAATATAATGATAGAATATCGGTCATTTTAGATATGACTTTAATTTATCATTAAGTTTAACAATAATAAGAGTAAAAAGAGAATAAAAAACCTTTGTAAAACAATCACAATTATAATATATATAAATCAACAACACAATAAAGTCACATCTCGAACATGTATACTGTACACACGCACGTCTTACGCTCAATATATTTATTTATTTATTTATCATTACGTACTCGGGGTACCCATTTTATTTAAAATACTCCACTTCTCTTCTCTACTTTCAATAAGTTGTGAGTAATGCTTTGGTAAAGTACTTTACGCGCAGTACATTAAGTCATCGGTTGCTGTGTCTGATTTGATGACAAAACAAATATTAATTGATCAGAAGCTACAATCAATAAGTTATTGAACTTTGAAGTCGGCAGAGCGGACGCTATCCTTTAATTTCCTCTTGACATTTTACGAATACCTTATCAAAATGGGTACAATATCCGGTGGTACATACTTTACAGGGTACCGATGCGTTCATTAATTACGTCACAAAATGACAGACTAAACTAAGTAGTATAATTAAGTTTACGCCGTGACTTACGCTAGTTTCGTTAAGCCTAATCACATCGATTTAGAACATTTGTTGTGTGGTAGTGATAGTGAGTCGACCGCGACGGCGGCGCGCCGGCCGCGTGAGTCCATGGAACAGGAAGCTGGCCGCGGCCTTGAGGGGAGCGACCAGGGGGGCGCGGGACGGCTCCCATTGTCAGACGTTACCCGGCGCGGGGAACCGCGGCGGAGGCAGCGGCGGAGGCGCGCGCCCCGCCTCCCCGCCCCCTGACGACTGCTCCGACACTGTCACACAACAATAACGTCATCATCAACCTATTAACGTCCCCAGAGTGGAATAATCCACAGGCGGGTTATTCCACTTAACTCCAAAAATCCTGCCACTCTAACTCCAAAACAGTTGTAATCTACGTGTAAATTAACTTCTGGAATAGTTTTGGAGTCGCAGTGGAATATGGGTAGTAAAACTTTCGAAACAATGGCTTTGGAGTTAAGTGCAATAATATCACCGGCCTTCCCTATGGATGGACTTAGGAGAACAGGTGTGCTCATGATCCACCATGCCAGCCCAATGCGTTTAGTAAAACCCTTATACATTTAACACCAGGAGAGAATGATAGCTTAGACTATCATCTATATACCTAGTCAGGTCATAAATTCTGTCACATCTACTATATAAAAATAAGTCGGGTTTTCCTTCCTGACGCTATAACTCCAGAACGCACGAACCGATTTCCACGATTTGCATTCGTTGGAAAGGTGTCGGGCTCCGTGAGGTTTATAGCAAAGAAAATTTAGGAAAAATAAAAAAAAAATCTTCTTTTAATCACCAAACGAAATGTTACATAAAACGAAGCCATCTGGTGGCGAAACGGAGTTCGCCGGGTTTGCTAGTGTTTAATATAAAATAATTGAAACAAGTTTATTCATTATGTAACCATTTATATACCAAAATGAACTTAACAAAACATAGATTCTTATGACAATAAAGTTTATTCAAAATGACCTTCGTAATTTTGAATACAGGCCTTACGACTGCGCGGCCAGTCGTCTATCGCAGCACGAACGAGGTCCATGTCAATATCGGCGGCTGCTTCAATCAAGGATGTCTTGAGTGACTCCAAATTGGGATGAGGCTTTGAGCACGCCTTTTTCTCCAAGTGTTGCCATATCTTGTAATCTAACGGACTCAAATCTGGACTGAAGGAAGGCCAGTCTTCGTGCCGGATGAAGTCGATTTCACGCGCCGCCAGCCAGTCTTGTGTGCTCTTCGCTCTATGAGCGGGCGCCGAATCTTGTTGGAATACCCAGTACAAGTTATTGAACATGGTATGAGAAACAGGTTCCACAAGGTTCGTCAGGACTGTATTTTGATACACAACTGCATTCGTTTTTACACCTTTCTCACAAAAATGTATCTCTGTTAAGCTCCAATAAGAAACTCCCAACCATACCATGAGCGAGGATGGAAAATGACCTCGTTGGACACGCGGAATACGGTTGCTCGCTTCTTCACTACTGTGTGCGTACACCTTATCATTTTGTTTGTTGTAGCTCTCTTCTACGGTAAAATTTTTTTCATCCGAAAATGAATTTCCCGATATTTTTTCCCGCGTACCGCTTCAACAAAGCGCGGCATCTCTTCAGTCTCAGGTCCATTAGTCGAGCATTCAAACGATGTCCTGTTTTTCTTCTATATGCCGGAAGCCTAAGTCTTCATTTAACACCATTTTCACCGTGGTTCTGCTTAACCCCATCTGAAGGGCCAACAGTTTCTGCTTACGTTTGGGATTTCTATGAATTCGCGCCTTTACAGCTTTTATCACTGCTGGACTTTTACCACTTCTTGACCTGTCATCTCTACTAGAGTCTTGATTGTATCGTTTGATGGTACGATAAACGAATCTTTTGGTTATATTAAAATTTTTCAGTATGTCAAAAATTTGAATAGGCGCGTAACCGCAACGATGCAACGCAATAACTGCAACACGGTCTTCTTTAAGCGTCCACACTTAATGTAAAAATGAGTAAAATTCTAAAAACTATACATTTTTATTTTCATGAACAATTCGAAATTCGAATTCAATAAACTTTTTTGTGGCCAGCATTCTAAAAAGAAAAGTTTTTACTGTGTGACAATACTTATGACCTGACTGTGTATATAAACTTCAATTGCTGTTCGTCTCGCCAAAACTCGAGAATGGGTGAACCGATTTATCTTATCTTGGTCTTGAAATGTTCGTGAAGGTCTAGCGAAAGTTTAAAAGAGAGGTGAGAAAAATTCGAATAATTGCCGGGAAAACCCTAAAAACAGCGAGCGAAGCCGCGGGTAAAAGCTAGTTTAATAAAGAAATAATTTGACGCGATCGTAGTAACTTTCAGGTTTTCCGGTAACTTGGCTATGGGTTATTCTAGTATCTAAAATGTTTAAAGCTAAGGTTTGAAGGTCCTATGTTAACCTAGGGAAGAATAAGATCAAATCTTGCATAATGTGATTAATTACTATTATGTATGTAAATGAATGAAAGATTCCAATGTCGGGAAATTTCTCAGTCGAACAGCTGATTGGAACGTAGCACTATGGGAAATCACGGCGTGTTTCAGATCAAAAATCGAAAACTGTTTTATTTGTTAAGAATGACAGTTGAATTTTTGGTCAAGCATAGAGTATTAAATAAGGCTTTAGATAAAGTTCAAATACAAAACTTTTATTTAAGTATTATTATTTTTTATTTAAGTATCTTTATATATATAATTCTTCTGTGAGTGTGTATGTCACTGAACTTCTCTTAAACGACTGGACCGATTTTGATGAAATTTTTTGTGTGTGTTCAAGGGGATCTGAGAATGGTTTAGATTCACAATTTTGTCCGCTGGACAACCCCTATTTTTTTAGGGCGGCACGAAGTTTGCTGGGTCAGCTAGTATTTATATAAATATTTAAAAAAAGTTTTAAGAAATTTCCTTTAGCTTATAACAAGATACTAATTTGTAAGTAAAATGAATATTAGAAAAATTATGTACTATATTTGTAGCGTAGATATTCATAAATAAAATGTATTTTAATCAGCTGCAGATACAAGTCAAATTCGTAATAACACTAAACAGACGTTTGACTGTTACGTATCATACATTATTTTTATTTATACTTGGTGAAATTTGGGATACAAGATGAGTTCGTTCACTTTTAAAAGAGCAAGGGCATCTTCATCAAGTGCCTTCACACTTTTGCTATATGTTTTTCTTAGACTGGAAATGTACGGATCTGATGTGTAGAGAAGAATATGAAATACATCTTCATTTGTTGCTGATCGAGAGCACTTTCTGGCATGATGTAGGTGAAATTTTTTGTAATCTTTATTACGGGACTCCTGCGCATTTTCTGAAAGTTGACCAATAGGAAGTACAGCAAAATGCTTAATAATACTTTCACCATGACTAAAAATATGCACTGCACATGGCATGTAGTACCGTTTCTTTTTTTCGCTTGTGGTTGACCATGTTTGAATATTTCATATTTCATGCAACCTCTCTTGGTTGCATGAAATATGTAAAATCATTTCCATACAACGAATCCAGGCATGCAATATAGAAAGTCCGTATGAAATGAATTTTCATTTTCTGGCCTAGCAGTCACTTTAGTCAGATCATTAATTTGCCATGGAGTAGCAAATTGCACATGTGGAACCAGAAGGTGCAAGTATTAACACTTGACCTACTTTGCTATCTATCATTGTTAGAAAGAGTTCATGCTTCACGTTTTCTCCTTCACCTTCTTTATTGATCGATGATGGTCCCAAGGAAATGATCTGGTTCTTTATTTCATTTATTAACAGCTTTAGTTTTTTCAAGAGTTTCTTTGCAAAATTCTATTGATATAGGTGTTGACCTAATAAAAATCCAGTGCCTTCGTCAGTCCTTTTTTGTTGAAAAAAGGACTGACGAAGGCACTGGATTTTACCAGACAATATCCCCTGTTAGCTCATTGATTAGTTTGATAGGCACTAAAGATGCAATAAACAAATTTGCATCAGAAACAAGTTCCGACTCCTCTGAAAGTTTTTGTTTATACTGACTTTGACCAGATGAACCATCACATACCCATTTAATGTATAAAACAAAATGGCTCAATCCATTCTTATACACCGAATCTATAGCCAAAATCCTAGCTGCAGTGTCGTCCAATATATCTTGAAGATTGAGTATTTTAGCATATGTATTTGTCATTTCTATTGCTGGAGGTGGTGGAAAACATCTCTTTTTGATTTCCTGTATTTTATAAAATGGTGAGAATATAAAACAGTTTCGTCCCTTAGTTAAATTATTTAAATACGTATATTGTGCTTTCGTTAAATCTTAATCAATAAAAACACTTAATGCCTCTTGATCCATTAGCATTTTGCTCTGGCTTGCGTTATGACATTCAAATATAAAGACTTAGTATTATGATCAGCAAGCCTTAATGTTTCCACGAGATTTGCTTATATTCCTTGTCCTATAGAACGCAATCCCTGAATAAAGGCATTCTGATGAGTTCCCATAAGCGACACAGGGTCTTCCGCGTTTCCCAGAAGAAATAGATGGCGTGAAATCAGGTTCTAGTTCTTCCGAATCCGGTAAAGTTACCAAATACTCTGAAATCAACCATTTGTCGTTCTTTTTTAAAAATGCATCCTTTTTCCTCAGCACTTTCTGCCCATCGTCTATAAAAGCTAGGAATAAGATTCCTTTGAATATCACTGATGATAAAGCACACGTTGTCTTTAGGAACATGATAGTCTTCTTTTAAAACTGCTGATAAAGATTCAAGTTTTCTTCCTCCTTCAATGAATGAAAGTAATAATACACGCTTAGAACACTTAAAAGTAGTAGTCATTTTGAAATTCGGCGAAAATACTTAACAGTCAAACGTTTGTTTAGTTTTATTACGAACTTTTAATAGCTATATAAAATGAATCCAAGCTTTATATATTGTTTGATAAATAAGGGTAGCGTGTATTCTGTTAATTTAAGGTTTACCTCAAAATGAGTGCAAAATGTAGATAAAATGCTCTATTACCAATAAATAGCTAATAATAAATTTAAATACAGTGGATCCCCGGTAGTCCGACAAACATTTTGCAGGGCAGTGTCGAACTATCGAATTTGTCGGATTATAGAGTACTGCCTAAAACAAAGTCCGATTTTTTTTACAAAAGAGTACCTTGTAATCCGACGAATTACAGATCCAATGATAAGATTACAAACATACTTTGTTATGTATGTCAAATTTAGTAAATTAAACA